TATATATATATATCAATACGTCTGTTATAAATTCTGGCACGTATTTTCAATTATTTTCAACATTGAATTTATTTTTCAAATAAAATTGTATTTTTACACGTAATATGAAATACGATATGTGTTGTATAAAAAGTTTATACAAGAGATAAAAAATAAAAAAAAAAAAAAGTGATAATTTTTGTAATATAAAAATCGTGCATAATAATAATCTCATGCAATCGTGAATAAATTAAAAATATAAAAAAATATAAAAGAAAATATTTAAAAAATGCATACAGAAACATACACACACACACACACACGTACACGTACACGTACACAAGAAAAATAGAGAGTTTAATTTTTATTTATAAAAAAAAAAATAATTAATATAATAAATTTCATAATTATATTATATATCATTGATTATAGTATAGAATTTTGTTCTATTTTTATTTTGTTTATTATATTTTATTTTATTTTTTATTATGATACAAATAGAAAGGTTAATAAATATTAAGAAATATATATATATATATTTTTTTTTTTATATATATATATACCTAAAAGATAAAAACTAATTTTAGTTTTATGAAAAAAAAAAAATTTTAATATCAAACGTAATTTCATTATTACGTTATACCAAAGAAGAAAACTTGTATTCTCGCTTGAGTACTGAAAAAAAAAAACCAAACCGTAAAACATAGAAAAGAAAAAAAAAGAAAAAAAAAGAAAAAAAAAAAATATAACCCGAGGCAAGAAATATTTCACGAGCCTTGATAAACTCGGTGACGCAAGTTTTTAAAGGTAGAGGTGAGTACATGTACCATGTTTTAATAAATAAAAAAATAGTATATATATATATATATATACAACCTCGATGAAGTTATATAGTTTGTGAAAGGAACTTTTAACGAAAGGAAAAGAAAGTAAAAAAAAAAAAAAATAAATAATAAATTGGAACAAAGAAAAATATTATTTTTCAGAAAATTGTACGAGGTTTTTTCGAATTACGTAAAAAATTCAAGCGCATACTCCTCCTAAATAAAAATTAAAAAAAAATAATTAAAAAAAAAAAACTACAACCAAACAACAAAAAATAAAAATGAATAAATAAATACTGAAAAGAATAAAAGTACCCCGTATATTAATTGACTAAATGAATTATACAAAATGAATTATAAATATATGTATAATAAATATAACTGTACTAAAAGTATTTCTATATATACATATATATATATATATATAAAATAATGTTTAATAATAAATTATATAAAAGTAAAGTAATATATATATATAGTAATATATAGTAATATATGGCAATATAAAATAATATATAGTAATAAATAGCAATATCTAGTAATATATAGTAATATATATTACTATATAATATAATATAATAAAATAAAATAGATACATACAAGTTTATATATAATATCAAAAGTTAAATAATCAATCAACAGATGGTTAGTTAACCACCAACAACAATAACAACAATAACAACCATAACAACCATAACAACCATAACAATAATAAAAGTAGATAACAATTATGGTTAGATTCATTTCGCAGAGTAGGATAATTAAATGATGAACGAGTTATGGATGATTTTCATTGATAAAACCTCGATTTCTATAATAACAACAATAATAATAATAGTAAAGAAACATGTGTGTGTGTGTGTGTGTGTGTGTGTCATGCATAATATAATAAATAAAATGATTGTTATTAATCGGAGCCCTAACCGGAGTGAACCATCGGTCCTAAAGGGTCGAATCTCACTCTGTGCTCCGAAGAATTTTGTGTAGCTTGAAGTAAATCGGAGAAGAACCTGTGACGCCTTAATGCTAGCTCGTCGCGTGCTACGGGGGTTGCAGGGGGTTCTTGCATCCCACTGCATCCCTCTGATCCTGAATCATCGTCATCCTCTTCTGACAGCCAACGTGGAATCGCAGAAACTACGAAAAGCATAGTTTTTTTTTCTTTCTTTCTTTCTTTCTTTCTTTCTTTCTTTCTTTCTTTCTTTACCCCCAACCCCTACAATCTCTACAATCTCTACAACTCTACACTCTACACTTTCTAATTATTTCATCCCCTTCAAACCCCTCATTGTTTCTTTTAACAAGTATCACATTCGTCACTCTTTCTTTTATGTTTTATTTGTTAAATTTGATTTGTTATTAATTATTATCGCGTATTTAAATAATTATGGGAATATATGTGTATGAAATAATTTTTTTTAATGAGTTTGTAATACATATTATTTGTTTATATGAAAATGTCTGGTATATGGTGATCCAAATTTTAATTAATTATAATTTAAATATATTATAATTGTAATTTAAATATATATAATTATATATTAATAATTATATAATAATATATATATATATATATATATATATATATATATAATACTTATACAGGAAGGTCGAGAATACTTAAGAAACGAGCTGACGTATACTGAATTTATTCGAGTGAGGTNTATAATTATATATTAATAATTATATAATAATATATATATATATATATATATATATATATATATAATAATATATAAAATAATATATATATAATATATTATATTATATACGTAATATATAAAATAAATTATATAATTATAATTTAAATATATAATAAAAATTGTGTATCGCAATTTTTGTTTTATTTATGTATTGTTTCTTTTTTTTTTTTTTTTTTTTTTTGAACAAATTAATTATAAAAATTAAATTAATTTCTATTTATAATTATAGTTCAATTTTTTAATTATTTTTATTTCCCTATACACCCTGACAAAATATCGGCGTCGATGTTCAACACTTTAATGGCCGCTCACACAACATAATATGTGTTATAATATTATAATTTTACATATAAATAATTGTTTTAATAATTAATATTAAATTGCTATTGTTTATTATTTTACGTGTATGTTGATACATGTTGTGTATTATTTCGTGAATTTTTTATACAAATTTGTTTCAATTAACTCTTCAAAAATATTACCATGCCCCAGGCGACATTTGACTGCATAAACGTGCGGCCATTAAAGTGTTAAAAAACGTGTAAAATTACGACAATCGTGTATTACATTAAAAAAAAAAAAATATGTCCAATAATAATAATAATAATAATAATACGCTCGAAATAATCCTATCACGAAATACCATTTTGATTCGAACAATAGGAATGATCACAGGGGTGTAGTGAGGGGTGGTAATTTACGGTCGATCGGATAACAATCTTCGATAATCGATTAACTTAATCGTCGTGATTCTCAATAACAACAAAAAGAAAAAAAAAAGAAAAAAAGAAAAATAGCTTTTGCATCCATCTTCTCGTCATGATCGATCGAAAAAATCGAATCCCAGAAATTGCCGATGCCAACAATATGGGGGGGATGGAATGGGGATGATGGTTTCTCACTCTAGTAAAACGAATATCGGATTTTCTATCGTAACCCTTTTCCTTCCTTTTTTTACACGATAGTATTGAACATGACATAAGGAAGAAGAGGATGACGAGGGGGTGAGTGGAGGGAAAGGATAGGAAGGGTCGAGGATAATCGAAGGATAAGAAAAGACGACAACAGTCGGTAGTTGGTGGAATTTCTAAAGATGGAACAGGAATAACCAACGTAATCGAAACTTGGAAATCTCATATCGGATATAAAAGAGTATTATAATAATAATAATAATAATAGGGAAAATTGTATGTGTGCGTGTGTGTGTGTGTGATGGATGGGGATGATAACGAATCGAATCATGTTATGATAAATAAAAAAAAAAAAAAAATGGACATTATTGCTATACTAAAGCCTATTCCAACATTTATTGTGGTTTGTTATCTTGTCGATAAAAATACTTTGTCAACCGAAGCCATTGAAAAAGATAAAAGTAAAAAGGGAAGAAAGGGAAGAAAGGGTGAGGAGTAAGAGAGAGAGAGATATATATAATATTGTATGTGTGTGTGTGTGTGTGTGTAGGTGTGTGTATTCTAGTTTCTATTAAAACCATTTTAGGTCAAATAATCAATTTTCGATGAACGTTATGATCGACCTTAACCAACCAACTACCTTTCCAAACACCCACCCCACTACCACCCCACTCTAACCTCGTTTTGGTTCTCAATTTGATTGCGGTCTTGGTCGTGAATGTGAATTTATTTTTAAATAATATCATGTAAATATATGATGGTAATTATATATATATATATATATATATATAAACGAAAATATATGTACGAAATTTGGAAAATATTTTATTCGAAGATGGATGGATGGATGGATGAAAGGAATGTTTTATTTTGACTTTCTTTCTTTTTTTTTTTTTTGGTGAGAAATGATGACGATAAAGGACACGGAAATAACAGGAATGAAAAAGTAAGCAACTGTATTTTAAAAGAGGATACCTCACTCGAATAAATTCAGTATACGTCAGCTCGTTTCTTAAGTATTCTCGACCTTCCTGTATAAGTATTATATATATATATATATATATATATGATGATGATATAGGATTATATTAAAGGGACAACAACTTTTAGCATTCGGTTGACAAAGCGGTTTACAATATTTCAAATATAAATTTATTTATTATCTCATAGAAATTGTTATTAAGAAAGATTGACGAGTATGTATAAACACACACATATTATATATGTTAATATGTGTAATTCAAATAATTATGAAACTAATTGAAATCCTTAAAAAAAAAAATTGTAAAACATATTATAATATTAATATAAAAAATTCTAATAATTATTTATTTTAATACTATAATATAATATATTATAGTATTATTATATAATAAATAATGTATTATTTATATTAATACTATAATAATTTAATTAGCAGTTAATTGGATTTTTCTATTATTTATTCTACCCTTTCCCTTTCCTAAACTATATATATATATATATAAATTAAAAATAAAGTAAATATTAAATATGTTAATGCGTGTAACTAAAATAATTATTAAACTAATAGAAAATCCCTTTAAAAAAAAATACTATATAAAATTCTACTATATATATATATATATATATATATATATATATAGTAGAACATTATATTATAATATAAAAAATTGTAATACTATAATAATTTAATTATAATAATGAAATAATAATTTAATTATCAGTTAAATTAATTTCTCTATTTACTCTACCCTTTCCTTTTCCTTCCCTTTCCTAAACCATATATAAACAAATAAATAAAAAAAAAAATTAATTACCCATAATTAATAAATTAATTTAGAAAGAGTGACGAATATGTACAAACACACATATTAAATATTTTAATACGTGTAATTAAAATTTGCATTAAACTAATTGAAATCCTTCCAAAAATAAAATAATAAAAATTCTAATACTATAATAATTTAATTATAATAATTAAATAAATTCTTCGAAATATTCTACCCTTTTCCCTAAATCCTTCCTTAAACCATATATAAAAATAAATAAAATAAAAATATATCACCACTATCATATTTCCTTTCCTAACCAAAGTCATTTTTTTGCTTTGAATAATTTTTACAATTTTCAATTTTTCACAAACGATTTATTTTTCCAAAACAATATATCTAACGATGAAAGAAGGATAAAAATCAATCAATTCAACATATATACCTGTTACAACTTTAGCAGGTGTCTCGTTATCAATCTCGTTATCAATCTCGTTATCATTTTCATTCTCGTTCTCGTTCGGACAAGATTCAAAAACAGAATCATCCCCCTCTTCGTCAGGACCATCGTCAATCGTTCTCTCGATATATGCCGAGGCATTGTATAAATTTGATTTAACAACAACATTGATAGTTTTAACAGAAGCTATTGCAGTTTCTACAGCATCGAATTCACCCCCACCATCAACACCAACAACACCGTCACAACCACCACCTCCACCACCACCCTCCTCCCCTTTAGCTTCGTCAGTACCAATGCAACCCTTCTGCATCGTTTCTTTCAAATCTCCTCTACCTTTTTCATCTGACCCTTCTACACCCTCACCTTGACCTTTCTGTTCTACCCCCTCACCCCCATCATTTTCTTTTGTCTCTTCATTTTTCACCTGGTTTTCTTCTTTTTCTTTTTCTTCTTCTTTTCCAATTTGTTCTTTATTATCATTATCATTCATTGTTAATTTTTCCATATTAGTTAAATGATTTTCCAATAACAACGATGTTGATGAGGAAGATACTTTAGTATTTGTTTCTAATCGTTGATTAATTTCACCGTTAGCAGATTTATCTTTATTTTCATCTATTATAACATATTTATCGTCGTTATCACTTTTAATGGATGAATCGATCACTTTGTTTCCCAATGATTTGTTGTTACTGCTGTTATTGTCCATTTCATTGGTCATAAGCTGCTTTTCCTTCCTCGAACTCTTGTTGCATACGCAGCATTTGAACATCCTCGATAATAACTATACTTCTTTATCTATTTCCGGTATGTATTTATTATTAATATTATTATTATTATATTTAATTTGTTTTGATTAATAATTCAAACGAATAATATATTTTTAATATTTTTGTCAACGTTTAAAGAACAAAAAAATATAAGAAAAAGAATTTTATATTGGGATCTGTAGCACTTGAATACGCTATCTGGTGGCTAAATTCAAAATTAGAGTAGATAGGTCGAATTCCTAGGTTACTTG